ACATACACCTGATGACGGCTCTATGAAAGCCGCAACATGTCGAGAATGTTCCATATGTAAATCGAGTACTCGATACGGAACAAAGGATAATATTTTAACCATTTAATTATCTTATATTACTTTATTGTGATTGACGGACAATTTTAATATATTTTAATACTATTTTTAAATAAAAAAATGAGTTAAACTTTCTTTAATATTATTGTTTTTTTCAAAAGAAAAGTTACCTGCTACAGCAATATTATATTAATATGAAATATTACACAATATTAACGAAATGTATCCAAAATAAAAAATTTATATATCGGAAACTAATTGTCAAACACGTATCCGGTTTATGTCATCGCAAAGGAAAACTCTGAAAGTTTTTTTTTCTCATGCCCGGCCTACGCGCATGCGCCAGCTGGTGACCTTCGGCGAGCTCAGTACCGATGTCGACACCACAGGAACAGGTTCAACGCGTGTTGTGGCTAGCGGAGTTGCTAACTCATATTAAGGCTGTCCAGCGTCGTTTTAGAATGCATGGAAAAGCATTTGGTTCTGGGACCACAAACTGAGGACTACAGGTAGTCTGTTACGTGTAAAATCTCCTGGAAAGACACGGACCTCTGAAGAAAATGTCAGTCGCATTAGAGAGGCATTCCAGCGAACTCCGCGCAAATCAATTCGTGCTGCTAGTTACAAATTTCACGTTCCCCAAAGTGAACGTGTGGGCCGGCTTAATGCACGACAAGTAGATTGGGCCGTTTTTCTTTTCGGAAAAGACTGTGACAGGACGTTCGTCCTTGGACATTATGGAGCTCTACGCGCTGCCCCAATTACCACCTCAAACTATCCGCCAGAACTCGCTCCCTGCGACTTCTCCCTCATCCCAAAGATAAAGTCTGTCCTCAAAGGAACACATTTTTTGTCGGATACGAAAGCAAAATTGCTTTGAACGTTGGCAGCAGTGTGTCAACTCAGAAGGGAACTATTTTGAAGGCGTAGTTGATTTTCTGAATTTGTTTTGTGGCAGACCTCGTATATACACTTATTTTGATTTTGTGTTCTATGTTCTTTATTTTAGTATGACCGATCCACGCCGGTTATATTTAATTTTCTTTTAAATTTCACATAGAAGATGGTAGCAGAGCGTGGTTAATTTATTTAAAACTGTGTATAATTATGTAAAGGCGTGGTTTATTATTTTTTTTAGGAAGTATCCTTCTGTACTTTCCCCATCAACCTCTTCGGAGTGGCAACACTGGAAGACCCCTGTACGCACTAGGGCACAAAGTCGCTTGATGTGCCCGGTTATCGGTTGAGAGGAACACGAAGGACGTCTCGAGCGTCGCGAGACCAGCAACGAATGTACAGTGGTCGGACGATTGACTTATACCATGGCAATCAATGTCTGTGGAACGGGCAACATGCCGATTATTAAAATCGGAATATAAAGACAGATGCGTGGAACAGCATCGCGGAAGAGATTAATTTACTATTTATAGTGAAAATATTGCAGCAGAATTACGAAGCTCTTGAGATGGTAAAGTTGCGTCATATTGTGATATAATAAATATATATTATTTAAATCTTGCCCGTCTAATCACAATAAATTCTTAGACAGTTCTTTTAGGAACTGAAACATGTCGTGAAACGTGAAAAATGATGGTCTAATGTAAATCGAATATTTCGATAAAGAACATCATTTAATATTTTAAATGTTAATTATTGTAATATTTTAATATTTAATAAGAATTTATTGTGATTAGACGGACAAGATTTAAATAATATATACGAAGCTCTTGTAAAAAAACAACATAAGTAATACGTTATTACAAGGTCAAATGGGGAAATTTAATCGAACACCAAATTATGGATACTTTACTCAGTCACGATACGATTCAAGCATTTCATCGCAGTCAAACTATTCAAACATAGGAACACCACAATCGAGTCAACTTTTCCAGCAAAATGAACGATTCAGACACACAGTAGTCACTGAAATACATGTAATCACATATGATAACACAATTTTTCTCTTCAGAATGTTTAAAACAATTATATGCATTTTATTTTTAAAATTAGTAGTAATATTATTAGCCCACAATGATTTAACGAAGTACGTATACCGGGATCCATAGGACCATGTTGCTTTAATGTGTACTGTATTGCAATAATTACTGTGAATATTTCTGAGGAAATATTCCGTTCAATATGTTTAAAATTCAATGTTACACAGTGAATAATAAATAGAAATAATATCACGGAAATTTAAAAAGTACTTTACACTGATGAGTTGCTTCGAGACTTTAAATGTATACATCAGAGTTGTATAGGAATCTCCAGATCTTGTCTCTGGTTTTGAACTCCCAACCATTTGCAACATTCATAGTTCCATGACTAAAACGAATGACACATTATCCGTAACACAGCTTGGTACATAGCAATCCCTTCAATTTTCACAATCCTTTTCACAGTAAGAATTTGTTACGAAAAACCAAAATTGTACACATCGAACCGTCCTAAATGTAAAAATCCTATCGAAACAAAAGTCCCTCATCCAAATTCCGAGAATCCTTCAGTCGAATTAACTTCAACGGCAAAAAGTACAGAAGATATTCAGATCGAAACATGAGGTGAAACTTTTGTTACATACGGAAAATACCTCAATTTGTCAAAAACAATAAGCTCCAAAGATGGAAAAATTAAACATCTTCCAAGAGTGGGCACTTCAACTCACACTGCACTACAAATGAACTGGTAGCTATGGCAGACACGCCCGATATGAACCGTTAAGTGAGAAGTTACAAGTTAGAAGCCAGCTACTGAAAAATGAGGCCAGCACCAGGTGGCCAAAGATTTAGCAACAACCTCCACTCCTCTCAGAAATGATCCTATGTGGATTGACTTTGAGGAGCGTGGAGAAAATACTTTCTCTACGACTTACGAGGGCTTCGTACCCACTGTAGAAAGAGAATACGACCATTTCACGTGCAATGTGGGTATATTACAACACCCAGCATTTATATGCAAGACTAATTGCATATAAATTAAACCGAAATGCAGGCAGTCAGCAGAAATATTGGAAACGTGACGAGGGAACTTTGAAGATACAAGGTCGTCACCTAAGCCACGGGCAAGGGACAGCTGATTGGGCTACTTTTAACAGGTAAGCGCTGAGACGATGACTCCTATAGTAGGGGTAGATAATGAAATCTTCAAAATTTACCCAACCAAATTGTTGAAAAGTTAAAGTGAACTATCCTGACTCAGGAATGTAATGTGTAAGAGTGTTACTAAGCAGAATAACATCAGATTTCTGCACCCACTCACGTTGAGTGTTTCTAAATGTGACCACTTCAAATATCTACAAAGGTCTTTTCTGATATCACAACTATTTATGGAAAGAGACTGCATTTGTGTTCAGAATCTATCCCAAAATCATGTTAACTTTCCTCCTAGTTCTACGTCTTTGAACACAAAATTCAGAAATGTTCCAGAACTATTTTCAAAGACCACTACTGCACTGCTATTCAGTTTGAGGTCTTCTGACGCCATATGCCACAAATGGCACTAATTCTGTCCGATACAGGCAACAACTCCAGGATGTATATTATAATCTGGAATATAAAAACAATTTAAATTATAACAAGGCAGCGAAAAAACTTTGTTTCAGTAGAATGTTTTTAAGAGGTGGCCACATAAGCTTTAAGTTTCTACGTTAGTACTTCTGAATACCTTCAAGACATATCTATGCTCTTCCTCGGCCAATGTTAAACCACTATCACTTCAAAATATACCCTCACTCAAATGAATTTGGAAGCAAACATCATCAGAAGTTACACAACAACAGTAATTAAGTTTTAGTTTATAAGATTATAATTTTTAACTTTTAACTTTACACCTGAAGATGGTTCAATGTAACCGAAACATGTGGTAAAAAGTTGTACCAAATATGTAAATGATATTTTAATATCTTATGTATAAATTTTAT